AAACCCATATAAAAATAAATTATTAAACGTGATAATAGAAGAATTTTTATAAAAATTCAGTCTTCAACTTTTGCGTTGGATTTGCGTTGAATTTGCGTTCGCTTTGAGTCGATTTTGATTTTTTATTAAAAGTCGGTAAAACAATAATATATTAGATTTTTTAAGTTATTTTTGGTTTTAAATTAATTGCTTGAATCAAACCCATATAAAAATAAATTATTAAACGTGATAATAGATGAGTTTTTATAAAAATTCAGTCTTCAACTTTTGCGTTGGATTTGCGTTGAATTTGCGTTCGTTTTGAGTCGATTTTGATTTTTTATTAAAAGTCGGTAAAACAATAATATATTAGATTTTTTAAGTTATTTTTGGTTTTAAATTAATTGCTTGAATCAAACCCATAAAAAATAAATTATTAAACGTGATAATAGATGAATTTTTATAAAAATTCAGTGTTCAACTTTTGCGTTGGATTTGCGTTGAATTAGCGTTCGTTTTGAGTCGATTTCGATTTTTTATTAAAAGTCGGTAAAACAATAATATACTAAATTTGTTTAAGTTATTTTTGGTTTTAAATTAATTGCTTGAATCAAACCCATATAAAAATAAATTATTAAACGTGATAATAGATGAATTTTTATAAAAATTCAGTGTTCAACTTTTGCGTTGGATTTGCGTTGAATTAGCGTTCGTTTTGAGTCGATTTCGATTTTTTATTAAAAGTCGGTAAAACAATAATATATTAGATTTTTTAAGTTATTTTTGGTTTTAAATTAATTGCTTGAATCAAACCCATATAAAAATAAATTATTAAACGTGATAATAAATGAATTTAAAAAAAAATTCAGTCTTCAACTTTTGCGTTGGATTTGCGTTGAATTTGCGTTCGTTTTGAGTCGATTTTGGTTTTTTATTAAAAGTCGGTAAAACAATAATATACCTATTAGATTTTTTAAGTTATTTTTGGTTTTAAATTAATTGCTTGAATCAAACCCATACAAAAATAAATTATTAAACGTGATAATAAATGAATTTTTATAAAAATTCAGTCTTTAACTTTTGCGTTGGATTTGCGTTGAATTTGCGTTCGTTTTGAGTCGATTTTGATTTTTTATTAAAAGTCGGTAAAACAATAAAATATTAAAATTTTTAAGTTATTTTTGGTTTTAAATTAATTGCTTGAATCAAACCCATATAAAAATAAATTATTAAACGTGATAATAAATGAATTTTTATAAAAATTCAGTCTTCAACATTTGCGTTGGATTTGCGTTGAATTTGCGTTCGTTTTGAGTCGATTTTGATTTTTTATTAAAAGTCGGTAAAATAATAATATATTAGATTTATTAAGTTATTTTAGGTTTTACATTAATTGCTTGAGTCAAAAACAAATAAAAATAAATTATTAAACGTAATAATAAATGAATTTTTATCAAACATTTGCGTTTAATTTGCGTTGAATTTGCGTTCGTTTTGAGTCGATTTTGATTTTTACATTAATTTCTTAGTTGTAAATAACCATTTAGAAGAAGATATATAATAATTTTTTTATTTTTTGTTTTTCAGATATGCCTTTGGGAGTTCAACGCATGAGAGCTGGCTTCGCAATTTAAATAATTTATTTTTTGTTTACTATTATAGTAATATATGTAGGAGGTATATGTAGTGTTTAAGTATTATAATAAATTATTTTTATACTTTAAAATAGAGTTTTCATTAAAATCCCAGCTTAAAAAAACATGGACTGCGTCCCTGTCACGGTTGAGGGTGGTTAACCGTTTTGTAGCAAAGCTTAAGGTAAGTCTATAAAAAAACGTGTTATCAATTAATCAATATTAATCAACCCTAAAATGTTAATATAGTTGATGGCAATAAGTTTAATTTGGGTTAAGAAATAAAAAACTTATCACAAATCCCAGGTAGCACAACGTGACGAAACCGTGACGATTTGTGTCCAATTGGACACAATGGACACAAATCGTCACGGTTTTGTCACGTTGTGCTACCTGGGATTTTACGTTAAATGAATCGAAACTTAACGCAAACTTAACTTAAAGTAGACTCAAAGTTATCGGAAAACTGACCCAAATTAAACGCAAACCTATCTCAAAGTTGACGCAAATTCAACGCATTCTTAACTTAAAGTAGACTCAAAGTTAACGGAAAACTGACCAAAATTAAACGCAAAGTTGACGCAAATTCAACGCATACTTAACTTAAAGTAGACTCAAAGTTAACGGAAAACTGACCGAAATTAAACGCAAGCCTATCTCAAAGTTGACGTAAATTCAACGCAAATTCAACGGAAATTTAACTAAAAATAAACTCAAACTTAACACAAAATCCTAAATCGGTACAATACTGCAAATAATTACGTCGAATTTGCGTTAAGAAACGAGATTTTAACCCAAAATCAACGTTAATTTTGAGTTAATTATGGGTGATACTTGGGCACTACTTAACGTTAATTTTGCGTTTAGTGAATTCGCCAGGGGTTGGCTGGAATATTAAGGATTGGCAGCGTGTACTATTTACAGACGAGTCCAGGTTTTGTTTATTCGACTCTGATTGGTGAGTAAGGGTTCTCCGACGTCCAAATGAGAGATTTTCACAGTGTAACATTTGTGAAACCACGCTATTAATTGGAGGTTCTGTAATGGTTTGGGGAGGAATTTCCTTGAGCATTTTGGGATAATATGGCTATACGAATAAAAAATCATGATACCTTGCCTGCCTCCCTTGATGACGTAGCAAATATGCTACGAGAAATATGGAATGTCATTGATCAAGGCGAGATTAGACATTTGGTTTTGAGTATTAGCCGTAATTAGCAGTAGAGGCGGAAATACGCGATATTAATATTCTTTAATGTTGGTTTTATTGATTTTGTTCATATTTTTATTGTTATTGTTACAATCGTTCTTTTTACATTTTTTTATTAAGCCGGAGTTCTTAAATATTTAACAGTATATTTCTTTTAAAAATAAAAATAACGCGGTGAATTAAAAAACGAAATGTTAAGAGAAGATAGGGCTATAGTTTGATTATAAAAAAATTTACAGGAAAAAACTAAATTTAAAAAAATATTTTAATAAAGGGATCATAACTAAAGAATAAACCTACAATTTTAAACAAAAACTACCAAATTCGGTTTGACTTTAAAATTGTGGCAAATTTTTAGTGGTGCGTTAAATTTGACGCGAAGTGTATATATATATATATATATATATATATATATTAGGGTGAGCCAAAAAAACTAACCTATCGGATTTATGGGTTAAAATGAATCTACATACTGAGCAAAAAATTTCCCTGCAAGGCAAAATTTTTTGCTCAATTTTAAATGGTGTCGGTGAGCATTCTAAGTTTTCCATTGAAATAACACGTAAAAAAATCTTTTTTCATTAAAAAGACTATAACTTTTGAACCGTTTGAGATAAAATTTTTTACGTCGCGGATTCTTGTAGAGCATAAAATTTCCCAAAGAATCTATACCAGGATTATTTTTTTTAATTGAAAAATTCGTATGTTTGAAAGCTTTGAAAAGTGTAAAAAATCACTAAAACTGCAGTAAAATGTGTAGCTGTCTTTTTTTTCTTTGTAAAAGTCCATCTGACGTATCGGGATCCGCTAAACCAGCAGATGGCGACACAATTAAACGTAATTTACAACAAACGTCAATCCTATGTCGCGCTCACGCGGCTTGGTCTGAAAAAGGACAGTGCGCGTATAGTTTCTTCTGGCATTGAGCCGAAATTTATCAAAATTTGAAGGTTAGTCAGTGGCGTACATACAGTAATTTGGCATTAAAGAAGAGATTTTGGAAGTTTGACAGGTTTTAAAAAATGTCTTGCAAACGTTTGGACGATAATCAAAAACGTTTTATTATTAATTTAGTTAAATATTTTCAAAGGGAACCGCTGCTCCCACTAAAGTGTGTCCAAGAGGTAAGCTATGTTAGGCTTGTTCCTACTGAGCATGTTTACTTTAGGGTCAAAGACATGTGCAATAGTAAAATCGCATTCGCAATATGAAAATATAACCGCTATTTCACTACAGCGCATGTCTCTGACCTCCATCCGAGAATCCAAATGCTCGGTGGGAATAGTTTGGCAATCGACCAAAAACAACTTCCGATTGCAGCGTGTGGCGATTGCCTTTGGCATTTCGATTAATACAGTGGGCAATGCTTTGCGTAAAGCACAAGCATTATACGAGGCCCCAGCCCAACCTTCTGGCAGCAAGACAAAGGCCAAGTTTCCATACTCAAGTCGTAAAAAATTAAAGACCTCGGATTTACCAGAAGCCTCAAAAACGGAAATAAGGAAGACAATTTATGACATGTTATTTAGGTCACAATGATCAACAATAGTGGTTCTGCATTGATGTGTTTCATTTGTATGAAAGCACTTAACCCTGAATACTCTTAATGAGCAGCTCAAATTAAAGGAAATTGTTGACATAAGCAGAAGTTATCTGTATAGCTTGCTTCAGGAAATAGGTTTTACGTATAAAAAGCATAATAAAAGAGTTACTTTAATGGAGCAGCAGGACGTGGTGTTTCGCAGGGCCGAATTTCTACGGCAGTACACTCTGAACGCTAACTCCGAATTTAAACGCCAAGTTGTGTTTTTAAATGAGACTTGGATTTTTTCAAGAGGCTCATGTAAACGTTCATGGCAGGATGGAACAGCGAAGGGGGTGCGCCAGCCAAGTGCAAGTGAGGGAAAGCGTTTTATTATACTCCATGCAGGCCATGAGGGTGGTTTTGTTGATAACGCCTCATTTTTGGGACTAAATCGAAGCTGGCAGATTACCACGGGGACATGAACGGTGAATTATTTGAAAGGAGGGCTGAAAAGTTGGGGCCAAATTTGAAGGAACCTTCACTGATTGTGATGGACAACGCTCCTTACCACAGCGTCGTTGTTGAGCGTCACCCTACAAGTGCTTGAAAAAAACAGCAAATAGAAGAGTGGCTAACAGAACATAATATTCAGTTTATCAAAGCAGAAAGCGGAATTGCTGTTCCTGGCACCCTACCACACCCCGCCTAAGCGTTACAAAGTTGATGAGTCCTTCGGCAGCATGGGCATGAGGTTTTGCGTCTGCCTCCATATCACTGCGTTCAATGCCATTGCAACAACGTATTCTGTTTTAGGCTAAAACATATTATGATTCCCACATGGAGGAAGACGGCTATGACGACAATAAAGTGCTAGCAATGTGGGGTCAAGCACTGAACCAATGCACGCCAGAACGTTGGTGTTCCGTAGTGAGGCAGACCAACAAATTAATTGAAGATTGGTTCCAAAAGACAAGAATGGTCGATGACGTGCCAGAACTAGTTATCCACCTCGGAGAAGACAGTTCCGACGAGGATGACTTTTAGTAATTTTGTTTTTGTTCCACAGTTTGTCCCCGGATGGGGTTTCCAAGAGGAGAAACTTTCTTATTTTTCATTTTACGAAAAAATCGTTTTTTTCATATTAAAAACTTTTTCCAAAATGGCTAAATCAGTTCTCACCGTTTCAAATTTTCTTTCCGTTCCAGAGAAAAACATAAAAAAATAAATTTATTAAGTTTTTATATCAATTCAAAAATTAGACTAATAAATTTTACTCGATCCATTCACCACCTTCCTAAACGCATAGCTCAAGTCTTTGACCCAGTTCCTCATAACTTTTTCGGACCTCTTCTAGCAGTAAAGACGCCACAGCATCTCTGATTCTCTCCTTCAAACGTTCTACATTCGGAGGAAGATCATTCTCATAAACTATTTGTTTCAAACGGCCCCAAAGGTAAAAATCTGCAATGGCCAAATCAGGGCTCCTCGGTGGCCATAAAACAGGATCATTTTGGCCGATCCAATTCTCTCCAAATTGCTGATTTAACCATTATACAACTATTCGAGCATAATGGGCAGGACAACCATCTTGTTGAAAGTAACACCTAGCACGATAATTAATCGGTAGATCATCCAACCTTTCATTTAGAAAATGTTGTAACATATCTAAATATGTATGCTGATTAACCGTATTTTCAAAAAAATATGGTCCAATTATACCATGATAAGAAATTGGACACCATAGATTAACTTTAGCCGAATATTGTCGCTTACGAGCGATTCGGAAATAGGGATTGTGAGTGCTCCAGTCCTTACATGTTGAGATGAGAGAGTACCGTTGGTTGAGAACGTGGCTTCATCACAAAATATATCTCGATAAAAGTATTGATTATTCATGATTTGAGCATCCACAAGCAGAAATACAAACGTTTTGCAGGATCTCCGGGCTCTTAAGCGTGATTAAAAATTGGTTTGTAAGGATAAATTTTACATTGTTTCAATATTCTTTGAATGTGTGTTTTACTTATCCCTAATTGAAGCGATCTTCGTCGTAAAGAAAGTTTCGGATCATTTTGTACCGAATCCATTACGATAAGAGTGGCAGCGTCATCTTCATTGCGACTTACCTTAGTTTTTTTTTACCTCCAATACGGAGCCAGTAGTTAAGAATTTCTGTATTAATTTTTGTGCACCACATTTTGAGATGTAAATTCTCGGGTCGGGTTGATTTATCACCTTACCATAGCACTGTATTAAATAAATTCGTTGCTCTTTCTACAACATTGTCATTATTTTGACAAATTTTCGTTTTAGACTGTCAATAAAACTTAATAAACAAAAGTCGTGTTAACCGTTGCCTTGAAAACAAAATATAATTTTTGGGACAAAATGTAATTTTTGGGACAAAATTTAATGTTGAAATAAATCGACCTATTTTTTATGTTTCTCTGGAACGAAAAGGAAATTTAAAACGGTAAAAAGCAAAAACTATTATGAAGAATACATTTTTCTTGTAAAATGAAAAATAAGAAAGTTTCTCCTCTTGGAAACCCCATCCGGGGATATACTGTATAACATTTTATTTTATTAATTAATGTTTTGTCTTAATTAACTTATAATATATTATATGTATGTACATACCATTATATACAAAATTTGGGTATGTTTATTGTTATTCGTTTATAAAACTTGCATAATTTACATTAATAAATTTATTATAATGTTAAAATAAATGCGAACTAATTATTGTTTAATTGGGTGTATTTTGAGTTGCGTAACTATGAGGCGACATTAGGCAACCAAAAATACACCCACAATAAATGCTTAGACCCCTTCAAAATGATACGCTACTGACTCTAAATTTAATTCATACGACCCCATTGATGACGCAATCACACACATTCAAAAAATATACTGTACATAAGTTATGGCATGGCGGCCAAAACAAAATATGATGATAGCATATACCTATAACTCCTATAGGTATATGGATGATAGTAACTCTTTTCAAAGTAGCGGTACATAAAAACGTGTTAAAATCAGAAACAGCTCGTCGTCTTCCACCACGGACTATAAGTATAATAATTTATAAAAAGTATTTATTACCACTTAGTTAACAATTTTACATTTTTAAGTATTAAGTAAATAAAAGTTTAAATTATAGTTGAACATGGCATGAAAACATGTTAATTTAACTTAACAGGCGAGTAATTGCAATCGCTAGAGTGAATAAATTTAACACAGTTTCTAAATAGAAACGTCTTGATTTTAAAATTCAACAAATTAGTGATGCATTGTATAGGTACTTAATATAATAAACAAACTGGCAAAGAGTATGAAACTCAAATTTTGTGAATACTGAAAAACTGGAAAACATGCCAAACATATCAAGAGTATCCATAAAAAATGGGGTTTTAATTGTTTTTGTCAACAAAATATTTTTAACGGTTTTAATGTTTTTGGAAAGACAAATAATTCCTTTTTTAAACATAAATTCTAAAAATTGGGCTGTTCTATAAACTTTGACAGTTTTAAATAAATATATTTAAACTAAACCTCGCCAAAATATTTAAAATAACAATTTATTTAAGTTGGCATGGCCCAGATTTATTAAAAAACAATTTTTTTAGGGAGGTACTGTTAATGTCAGTACATTTTTTATGCCCCCAGTTCAAAGATAATATTATCTTTGACCCAGTCACTGGGTCCAAAATATTTTGAATCCAACCAGATTAACTTCATATTATGCAGAGTTTTACCCCACTTAATAAAAGTAATTTTTAATTATAATACTTTTATTACAAAATATTATTACTATCAGAAAGTGTCATTTTATAAATTCCCTATTTTTATAAAGTTCCGCATCGTATATTGGCGATCATTTTCTTTCAAAAATTTTGGTACTGCCGGTCGTGGTCCACGACTCGTGGATCAAAGTGGGCCATCCCTGCACTACATGCGGATATTGATGGCATCTCTTGACAAGCAGCTCTGCTTTGAACTCTTCAAAATAGTATGGCAGCCCGTTCTGGTTCACAACTATAGAAGTAAGGATTATATAGGTTTGTCCAATTTTGAAAACACAGTCTAGGTACTGATATTTTCAACAAATGAAATAGCCCGCATGTATTGTCAGTGACACTAGAATGAACAGGAAGAGGCGAAGTGCCATCCAGTTCATCGATATATTGTTTTAAATAATCTAAAACTTCAAGCCTCAAGGAACGTTTTCATTTTTAGATAAATATCATTTTAATTACCATCAAGCCTTTGGAATATGAACTATTTAGCACTTAAGATAATTTTACACTGTCTCCAGATATTTTTGTTGTAACCAAGGAGTATGAATATTTATTTTATTTGCTTGTACCCTCACTATAGTGAATATATTCTCAATTAAGTATTAGTATTACTACTAATAATATCACTAGCAGATACAGCGGATACAACTTTATTTTATTGATTTTATAGATCAAAACCATAATAATTTGTACTGTTGCTGCCACCTGGTATTGAAATTATGACTGACAGTTGTTGTAAATATGTACTTCAAGCCTCAAGGAACGTTTTCATTTTTCGATAAATATAATTTTAATTACAAACAAGCCTTTGAAATATGAACTATTTAGGCACTTAAAATAATTTTACACTGTCTCCAGATATTTTATAACACTTAAAATAATTTTACACTGTCTCCAGATATTTTTGTTGTAACCAAGGAGTATGAATATTTATTTTATCTGCTTGTACCCTTACTATAGTGAATATAGTCTCAATTAAGTATAAGTATTACTACTAATAATATCACTAGCAGATACAGCGGATACAACTTTAGTTTATTGATTTTATACATCAAAACCATAATAATTTGTACTGTTGCTGCCACCTGGTAATGAAATTATGACTGACAGTTGTTGTAAACCGTAATAAAGCTAGATTATTAAACAAAATTGTTTAACTAGTGTTTTTAATGTTTAATTAAAATACATCCCTTCCTTATGTGGCAGGCGTCAGGAGATAAACAGGACCATACTCAAGTCAAATTCTAATTTTCCCAAAATCTTTGTCGCAAATGTTTACCAGTGGGCAATATTTATGTCGCCCACTTTACAATTAAAACAATACACTGCAGTGTATAACCATGGTTAACGGTGGTACTATAGATAAATAAACTGTTTCTTTGTCCATACTGGAACGTTATTTTTGCTGCTTAGTTATCTAAAAAATATTAGAATGGCGTTATGGCCCTATTATTTCCCCAAACATTAATATCAGGTTCTGAAAATGTAAAAGGCCTGTTTAATTATTTCACACTAGCCCAAATATTTATAATAACTATTATATTATTGACTACAAGCCTATTAAAGGTTTATAAACAAACTCACACCTCGTAAACCACTTATATTCCAAAATCAAAATCTTTAGGGTTGTTTGAGCATAAAATGAAGTATATAATATATATATTATATACTTATATTATACCCCCTAAAAATGTTAAGCAATTTAGAGTTTATAGAAAAAAGTTATGGCCATCTGAAAATAGCGATTTTGCAACCGATCGGTTTTGTTTGGTCATAAATTTAAGGAATATGGGCAATTAATAAAAATTAGGGTATGTAGCAACCAGAGCTGCAAGCTCTCAGAAAACTTAAATCGTTTTTTTTTATTTAAATCGTTTTAATGACGTAAGTCATTTGGTAATAAGTCATTTCTCTAAAACTAGAAACTAAGACTTAAAATTTAATTTTCAAAATGATTTGTGACTTAAATATTTTTTTCAAAATAGAAAAAACTTAAGTCATTAATAAAAGGCTTAAAT